ACATCTTCGCGCCCACCGTTCAGCTCATTGACGACCACGTGATCGACAACAAGATCTCTGGCCTCCGATGTCTTCACCTCATTGTCCGCAACTGTTGGCCAACCCTTCGCACCAATGGCTCCGATCTCCTCATCTTCGAGCGCCTGAAGACTCTGCTGTACAACAAAGAGCCGGAACTGTTTGAAGTGCTCTTCGACTGCGTGTTGGATGTGATGAACCGATTGGAGGCCTTCGCGGAGCCATCGCTGGACAGGCCGTTGACGGCCGTCACCCGTAACGACCAGATCGTGACGCAAGTGTTGTCTAACATCCGGATGTCCTCTGATGTCAACTATCGTGTGATTCATCTCCGCTTTTTGGATAAGTTCTTCGTCGCCATCAACGCGCAGGCACTCAAACACACCGTCTCTTACGTGGACCTCCTGTGCGACCTCTTGGATGGCGAGCCCATCACCGGGAAGACCTACCGGCTCCTGGAGGTGTCGGTGAACTCGTTGAACGCGTATATGATATGCGTTTGGGTCGCTATACCGGAGTTTATGGCGAAGTGTTTGTTGTGTTTACTGAAACTGTCGGTCAATACAGCGGACAGTGATTTGAGTCCAGAGTTGGTGTCGAAACTCAATCAACGGATCCACGACTCCATTCATATCATGAGGAGCGCCGACACCACAGATGCGTTCAAAGGGTTGGCTAAGAGTTTGATGAAAAGTGCGGCCAAAAAGCGATTAAACGATTCGTTAATCAATTTGTTTAACGTTTGAAAAGACATTTAATTTTTGTATTTTTGTATTAATGATAAAAATCTAGTGATTATTGTGTCTTAAGAACGGATCCATTGCGTGATAGACACGTCTATTGTGTCAATCGCTGGACGTATGCATCAAATGCTTTAAAAACAGTGTTTTTGTATTCATTTCTAGTATTATATTAAGAATAAAAATTCAGTGAAAATCGTGTCATAAGAGCGGATTCATTGGACTTATTGTGACAATCGCTGGACGTATGCCTCATAAGCTTTCTGGCGATAGAGGTGTGCCGTCCCTCTCAGGTCCGCAGCGCCGGTAATACCTCTGCCGACGATCACTATATCTGCGCCACGCTTTCCGACGGAAGTAAATGTTTGTCTGATTTGTCGCCAATTGTTGAATAGATTTGACGCAAAGATTGGGAAAACTAATCGTCGCTCGCATTCAACACTACCTTTTATACCTGTATTACAATTACTGTATGTTTTTGCGATAATTATTATACATAACTTATAATGAGTTACAGACAATTATAATAAGACTAAAATATTATACCTAACAATGCAATTAAATAGTCTTAGTTTTATAGAACTGATATACAGTTTACTTTTTACAGTATATTTTGCAATATCATAATCTTACAATTTTATAATTAAAATTTATTATAATTAATGTTTTGAATAGAAAGTATTGACGTTAGAAAAATTAATACAGTATTTGTTTAGTAAATGAGTTTATAATATACAAAAGGATCAATCGATGAATAAAAATGAATGACTATTGTGAAATAATTTCACATTTAAAGCAGAGTTTACTCATTCAAACTAATAAAAGTTTTCAAACTTAGCTTAAATTCATCACAAATTATTTATGAATAGTCATTCATTTTTATTCATCGATTCATCTTTTTGTATATTATAAACACAAATACAATATCCTATTAAATGAATTAAAAATTACTATTTCCTATTAAAATTTTATAATTCTTTTTTATGGAGGACTAACAGATTATACATTTAAGGTACAAAATTATAGATATTAACTATAATTCCATTTGTTATTTTATACAATCTTTATATTATTGATAAATTTTAAGAAAATTAGTTGTATTAAATGATTTTATTATAAATATGATTTGAAGCTATTACAACAATTTCAATACTGTATACAAATAATTTTAGTATAAATAGCATTTTATTGATTCACAAATTAATAAAAACATGTATTAAAATAATAATAATAATATTTTTGCAAATATACGCAAATAATTAAATTAAATGATTGCAAAAATTATACGCTTTTGTTAGTTTAAAGTTGTTAAACATATTAACGTTGCAAATAATATTTATAATATAAAATAAAAACCTTGATAATTTATACTAAATACTTTGCATAAGTAATATGTCAAACATAACTATAATCATAAATGTTACGCACTGTATATGAATGGTTATGTAAATTACTTAACGATTAGTTTGTTGTTTGAAGTATTTATTCATCGGTTCTTAAAATAGTTAAGAATTCTTTCCATACTATGGGACGCAAAAGGGTTCAACTTCTCCCAAAACCACGTAACGCTAATCCTTTCGACTTTCCCCACGTGATCGCCACACAAGTTCACCGGGTTTCGATTTGACAGGTAAACGGATATGTCCAGGGTGGTTAGCGCATTGCCCACGTCCCTATTGAGACCAGCCAACCAGGCGGCAGTTTTCGACGCAGACTGCATATGATTCAACACCGCTTTGGCTCCGGGACTATCGAAAGCTACACAGTGCAGGTCGTACGGCTGGTTCATGTCGATGGACTTGCCATTTGGGAATGACCATGTACCACGCGGACCATACGGGTGGAATTGGGGGTATTTGCTCAGTAAGGCGCACATCTGAGCCAACCAACCGCCCAGACTATGACCCGTCACTGTCACTGAATAGTCGTTCCGCACAAACATGTTGTTCACTTCCTTTAGGGTGTTGTTCATAAGGGACTGTCGTGTGTGCCAATCGGCTTTCTTGATTACCTCAGGAGTTACTATGTTCATAGCGAGCATGATATCCGTTTTGACCTGCTCCCAATTCTCGGTGCCCCTGTGCACTATCACCAACTGTTTAGCCGGTCTATTTAGGAATGACGTACATTTGAACCCTGGGAAATAGATGTTATGTTAAATCACGATTCAGTCATTTACCGTAAGAGTATTTCCCATAATTATATTTGCCGTAATAAGACATTCACAAAAATTAATTTAAATAAAGGCTAGTTTTCTTTTAATTTAGTTATTTAACGGATATATTAGTTGATGATAGTTTTAGTGTCAGTAATTTAGATTAACCATGAGTTTGGTTAGCAATTTTTATTGCATGCTATTGTAGCAAAGTGTAATTATGGTTGTTTTTGTGGCAAATTACTAAATCATCATAACTTCGGATATCTAGCTTTTTATTAATAAATAAGTGACCATGATACTTACCGTTGTAGCTGGTTTTAGTACCCACTTCCCACTTCTTTTTTTCTATGAAATTCACCATTTCTATGATTGGGATTTTCAAGCCTTTAACTTCTGGTATTTCATGAACGCAATCATATTTAATGTCGATATAGTACTCCAAGTTAACCATATAAGCAAGCTCCAATGTGGACGGGTATGCACCACCACCAGAGACGACCGGGGAATTCGCAATTGATTTGCGAATTTGTTGGCATTTACTGCACATTGGCATGATTGTCACCTTGAAATTATTGTTTTGTGATTAAACAGGTAATTTAAAATAATATATTATAACAATCATTTAAGACATTCAATTTAATACATTATTTATATGAACTAAAAATTTTTCTAAGAAATTAATATTTAATATAGATATCATTATGTAATGGTATTATTAAGTTTAATTAATTTTAAAAATACATATTAAATATTAATAATTATATAAATGTTCTGCTTTAAATAAAACTTAATTATTACCACTTAAATGGCTAATATTATATCTATTGATATTATTATTGATCTATCGATATTAACTAATAAATATATACTATTACCCTGTAGGAAAAGTCACGTAATCCACAGTATATGGCATTGAATTGTAGTTATATTTAACAAACAAAGATCCAGTTGCTATGAATTTACTGATATATTCAATCTCTCTTCAGTCGCAGTCAATATTTGTACGATTTATGCGCTAATTGTTCAATAGATTTGACGCAAATATTGCGAAACTAATCGCAATAACATTAACATTAACTTAGTTTTAACATTAACTTTATTTGCAATCATTAGTACAGAGATTAAAATATAATTGCATTGAAATTAAGTGCCAATTAATGCACATTTAATACACAGAACTTATAATTTATGTTATAATTTCAATTAAAACGAACTTACCATAATTGACTAATATTATAATAATGTTCATTTCATATTCATTTTAATTGCGATCAAATGATAGTGAAATACATTTTCAAATACAATTTTTCAACTATTCACTGATAATAACCGCTGAGGAATGGCTCACAGAAGGGAATCCATGCAAAGGCAAGTCTACGGCAAAGACTCTTTCGACAGATTTGGTGATGATTTGTGTGAAGAAGTCTTGTCTTATCTCACTCTCGAAGACCGGTTCCGATGTGAATGTGTGTCCAAACAGTGGCAGCGATTGGTATATAAGACACAAACGGACTTCAAATACACTTATGTCCACAAACTCAATGTCGAGTCCTTTGAATGGATACTCAAGAAGTGCCAAAACATCTCAAAAATTGGACTATTGTTTGTGTCATTCAATGGAAACTTAATGTTTGAGTCAATTGTCAAATATTGCAATCATTTACAGCATATTTACATTGATTTCAATGACTTAAGTGTCGACACAATCACAAAGTTTTTCGCAAAGTTTGCCAAAAGTTTGAAATCAATTGAATGTTATTCTGTGCACGAAAACACCCCAATCTGGAAGTGTGTCGACAATTGTCTTAAATTGTGTACAAATGTCACAAATCTTCAGTCAAAAGCCACCCCTATGTCCACTGTTCCCACAAATGATGTATTGTTTCGCAGATTAAACTCATTTTGGTTTCAATACACGAATGAAGACGTGAAGAGATTTGAAGTATTCGTCAAAAGCTATGGAAAGACAATGAAATCAATTAAAGTGTTTATCAATGGGACGTGTAATGATCGGTCCATTGATATACTGATGACTGGTTTGTCACAAATGCCACAATTGATTGATTTGGATATTTTTGCAAGAAGTGTAAAAAGTACTGTACATTATAGTCGTTTGAAACAAATTGGTGTGAATTGTGGTCAACTCAAGGGACTGACACTCATGGCTCGCATCAATTCCTGTGAACTAATGTCTCAATTGATACAAACAATTAATACACACTTTAAACAATTAAAACGACTCGAACTGAATGGTGAATATCCGGATGAGTTTGTGTTTAGCAGTGAATCGTTGAGTGGATGCAAACGACTCACACATTTCACTCTCAACTCCCCAAATGTCAGATCCGCCGAAGATTTTACCCGCGATGTCGACAAACACTTGCCTCGCATTCAAGACCTAGACATCAGTGGAACAGATATAACGGATATCAAGGGAACAGATATAACGGACAGTGTATTGAACTCATTGTCAAAACTCAAGAAAATACAATATATTGTTTTTTATGGATTCACTCGAAAGGTCACTCAAAAGGCTATTCATAATCTGATGGCTAATTGTCCCAAAATGATAAGTGTTTATTACTAATCAGAAATATGTATGAAATATTTTGTCCTTTACTTCAGTGATGCCCTACACGTGACCCATGGCTTAGATATTGTTAGTATTGCGTGCAATCTTACAGCAGGTATTCCCGTACTATTCAATGGAGTGTTAGCCTATGTTTTTTGATCTACTTTTTGCGGCGTTTGTGTCGACATTTACTATCCAATGATTATTTGATTTCAATTGCAATTGTATTTATAAATTAGTTTTTAGTATAAGTCTAATAGTGAATAACAAAATACACATTAAATTGAATGCAAAGTATGTTTAATAAAACCAAATGAGAAGATCAGTAAATAATAATATTCTGATTAAAATCAGTTACGATTGAAATGCGAGTGAATTGCCATAAAAAGTAAAATTGTGGCATAATTTACATGAAATATAGACCCAAATACTGTACAATACTGTACTTATACTGTACTTCAATAATGTAATTATTCAATACTTTTGTGTCAAACCATTATTCACTGATTTAGTGATATTTATGTAAAACCTTTTGTTTTTAATCAATAAAATGATTCATTCAAAAAAACCCAAAATCATGGCTGAAATCATTTAATAATCAAAAATTACTTAAAAGTGTTCATAAAATATAATAAACTCCAAAACACTTACACATTATTTGAAAACTTTTTTATTTAATCGATTCGTTAATCAATTTGTTTAACGTTTGAAAAGACATTTATTTTTGTATTCATTTCTAGTATTAAAAGAGAAAAAGAGTATATAATATATCTCATCGGAAAAGAGGGCCTATTTTTGTTAGCATTTAATTGTGGTTTAATTTGTGCATTCAGTTATTAATCGTTTTGTTATTAATTGTGGAGAGAGAGTGAGTGAGAGAGAGAGAGAGAGAGAGAGAGAGAGAGAGAGAGCAAGTCTTTATTAAACTTTTTATGTAATAATTAGTAACTAGTACAAAATATTTTATACAAATGGTTTATTAGTATAAAGACGTATAATTTTAGGAAAATTAGCGATCAGATTATGTTAAGCCTTTTCAGTGATCTTTACATCGCATCCACGAAAATAAATATATTGTATTTTCTTGAGTTTAGACAATGAGTTCAATACATTGTCCGTTATATGTGTTCCACTGATGTCTATGTATTGAATGCGAGGCAAGTGTTGGTCGATATCGCGGGTAAAGTCTTCGGCAGTTGTGACACTTCGGGTCCATAGAGTGAAATGTGTGATTCGTTTGCATCCATTCAACGACTCACTGCTAAACACAAACTCATCCGGATATTTACCTAACAATTTGAGTCGTTTTAATTGCTTAAAGTTTGCATTAATTGTTTGCATCAATTGAGACATCAGTTCACGTGAATCGATGCGAGCTATGAGTGACAACCTCTTGAGTTGACCGCAATTCACACCAATTTGTTTCAAATGACTATAATTTACGGCACTTTTTACATGTAATGCAAAAATATTCAAATCAATCAATTGTGGCATTTGTGACAAACCAGTCATCAGTATATCAATGCTCTTCTCATTACAATTATCATCGATAAACACTTCCATTGATTTCATAGTCTTTGCACATCTGGTGACAAATACTTCAAATCTATTCACGTCTTCATTCGTGATTCGAAACCAAAATGAGTTTAATCTGCGAAACAATACATCATTTGTGGGATCAGTGGATATAGGGGTGGCATAAGACTGAAGATTTGTGACATTTGTGCACAATTTAAGACAATTGTCGACACACTTGCAGACAGCGGTGTCTTTACTAATATAATTGGATTCAATTGATTGCAAACTTTTGGCAAACTTTGCGAAAAACTTAGCGATTGTGTCGACACTTAAGGCATCGAAAGGGATATAAATATGCTGTAAATGATTGCAATGTTTCACAATTGACTCAAACATTGAGTTTTTATTGAATGAGACAATCAATGATCCAATTCTTGAGATGTTTTGGCACTTCTTGAGTATCCCCTCAAAGGACTCGACATTTAGTTCTATGTTTGGACCAAATATGAGTTCCCTTTGAGTCACATATACGACTCGTTGCCACTGTTTGGACACACATTCACATCGGAACCGGTCTTCGAGTGATAGATAAGACAATAAGTGTTGACACAAATCATCGCCGAATCGGTCTAAAGAGTCTTTGCGGTAGACTTTTGTCTCATTCATTGTATGACTACTTATTGGTAGGAATTCCTCTCACAGTCACCTCTTATGACACAATACTAGGCTATGAATTAAGAGACAATTTTAGCGCAAATTTTAATGAATGAAAACTTCATGAACTTTTCATTCAATTAATAATTAAGTGGAAAATTAATACAAAAGTATTGATTTAATGTTCAAATAAATACGTATTTTTCAAAACATTATGCAATCGTTTAACAAAAACACATTTCAACCTAAAACCGGTTTTTAATATCGCTTTTAATACAAGATATGAATTCAAAAATCTGTTTTTTAAAATCATTTGAGGCATACGTCCAGTGAATGGCATAATAGACGTGTCTATCACTCGTTGGGTCCGATCTTAAGACAATAATCCCTATATTTTTATCATTAATACAAAAATACAAATAATGTGTTAAAGGATTTTGGAGTTTATTTGATTGAACTGGACACTTTTAAGTTTATTTTTTATGAGTAATTGGTTGCAGTGGTAGTTGTGGTTTAAATGATTGAATCATTTTATTGATTAAACAAAATTAAAAAGTTTTACAGAATATCACTAAATCAGTGAATAATGGTTTGACACAAAAGTATTGAATAATTAACTACACGAATAGTGTATGAATTGAGTCTATATTTCATGTGAATTATGCACACATTTTGGTTATATTTAGCAAAAGTTTTAAAAAAGTATTAACGAAATGAAATATGATATTGAATTCAAATGAAAATAAATGTTAAGAATACCTGTAGTTTGAATTAAAACAAATATAATGAAAAAAAAATGTTTTACTCCACAGTATATGATATACAGTACTATATGTCTAATGTTTATCTCATT